TTTTAAAAAAAAAAAAAAAAAAAAAAAAAAAAAAAAAAAAAAAAAAAAAAAAAAAAAAAGAAAAATGTCTATTCAGCTCCTTTGTTCATTTTTTGAATTGGGTTATTTGGTTTTTTTACTGTGTAATTGCTTGAGTTCCTTGTATATTCTGGATATATATATATATTTTTTGTCTTTTTTTCGTGACCGGCAATGGATCGCAACCCTCAGTGTCGCGCCCGTACTGGACCGGGACTGGCAACGGGATCGCAACCCTTGGTGTTGCCCCCGCACCTCGCTCAGCCAGTGAGCGGCCGGTCTGTATGTGGGATCCGAACCCTCGGCGGGAGCGCCGCCGCGCTTCCCAAGCGGCGCACTGTAGCAGTGCGCCACCGGGCCAGCCCCTATATTCTGGATATTAATCCCTTGTCGATGCACAGTTTGCAAATATTTTCTCCCACTCTGTAGGTTGTCGTTTCATTCTGTTAATTGTTTCCTTTGCTGTGCAGAAGCTTTTTAGTTTGATATAGTCACATTTGTTTATTTTTTCTTTTGTTGGTTGTGCTTTTGGGCTCTTGTTCCACAACTCCATTTTAAAGATGAGAAAACCCAGGCTCTGAAAGTGTAAATTACTTACTGAACAGCACACAGCCTGTATGAGAGCCAGTGTGAGAGTAGAGCCAGTGTCAGTCCTAGGTCTGTCTCATTGGGTAGGCCATTGTTCTGAAAAGAGTTCGTGGAAAAATAGAATTAAAAGACAATACAAATGTGTCCACAAACTTTTTGAAGACCCCTCATGTGTGTATATATATACACACATTTACACAGTAATAGCCTTTTTGAGGTGTAATTTATGTACAATAAACTGTACCTATTTAAATAATACAACTTGATGTGTGTTTTAACATATGTCTATACCTGGCAAACCATCACCACAGTCAAGATGGTGAGCATATCCAATACTTCCAAAAGTTTCCTTCTGCCATTTTGTAATTCCTCCCTCCCATCTCTCCTGTCCCTCCCACTCCTGATCACAGACAACCATTAATGTGTTTTCTGTCACTATAGATTAGTTGCATTTTCTAGAGTTTTATACAAACGGAATCATATAGCATGTACTATTTTTTGTGTCTTCTTTTGCTCAGCATAATTGTTTTGAGATTCATTCATATTATTGCATGTTTACTCCTTATGTTGCTGATTAGTATTCCATGGTATGAACAAGCCACAATTTGTTTATAAATTCATCTATAGATAGACATTTAGGTTGTTTCCAGTTTGGGGCTATTACAAATAAAGTTGCTATGAAAAGTTTATGGTCAAGTCTTTGTATGACATATACTTTCTTTTCATTTGGATGAGTACTTAAGAATGGAATAACTCGACCTCATGGGAGGTATATGTTTAACTTAAAAAAACCCTCTTAAACTATTTTCCAAAGTGGCTGCACCATTTTGCATTCCCACCAGCAGTGCATAAGAGTTCAAGTTCCTCCACATCTTCACCAGCACTTGGTATGGTCAGTCTTTTTAATTTTAGCCATAGTAATAGATAAGTAGTGATATCAAATTTCTTACAGTTTTTTTTTTTTTTGTCTTTTTGTCTTTTTCCATGTCCGGCAACGGATCGCAACCCTCAGTGTTGCCCCCATACCGGACCGGGGACCGGCAACGGGATTGCAAACCTCGGTGTTGCTCCCGCGCCTCGCTCAGCCAGTGAGCAGGAGCCAGTCTGTATGTGGGATCCGAACCCTCGGATGGGAGCACCGCCGCGCTTCCCAAGCGGCGCACTATCCAGTGCGCCACCGGGCCGGCCCCTTAAGTCTGTTTTTGATTGCCCCAGTTTGGCTTGGTTTGAAGCCCATTCCTGAATCAATTAATTTTATTAGGAGCATAACACACACTGACTGGTTTGACCAAAGTCGAATACCCTATTGCTGGGACTGCTGAAGAACCCACATCCAGTCTGAACGGCAACCATTGCCCAAACTGAAATTGGGAACTGTCTTGAGAATAAATGGATCTTGAACATTTCTAAGTTAACTTGACCCAACAACAGCTCTGAAAGGAGCACACCCATATCTCCCTCGGTGCTGCTCCCGCGCCTCGCTCAGCCAGTGAGCGGGAACCGGTCTGTATGTGGGATCCGAACCCTCGGCAGGAGTGCCGCCGCGCTCCCAAGTGGTGCACTGTAGCAGTGCGCCACGGGCCGGCCCAGCAAAAAAATTTTAAAAAAAATTTTTTTTGAATCATAATTGATTATACATATTTTGGGGGTTCAACATTGAGATATGTTGATCAAATCAATATTACTAGCATATATATTGCTACAAATTATACTTATTCTTTTTGCCCCTTGTCCACTCTCACCCCATCTCCCTCTCCCTCCCCCTTCCCCCCTCTAATTACCCTAAATTTCTTCTCTCCTTCTGAAAGAGTAATGGTTACTCTGTTGACTTGTTGCCTAGATGATCTGTCCAATGTTGAGAGGTGTGTTCAGATCCCCCAACAATATCATAGAGTAGATGCTTCTTCTCTCACTTCTGGAATGGGCTTTGTGGAGAGAGACATCCTCTTCTTTTCTTTGGTCTCTGCTGGTGACTCTCCTTGTGTCAATGCACTCCAATGGCTGGTGGACCATCTGCATGGTGGTTATGGCGTCTAGCTGCTTTCGTGGCAGCCGTGGTTATTGTGGTGGCTGTGGTTGGCCACTCATATGGAGGTGATGTTTTTGGCATGCTCCTTGGTGCTGGCGGTGTGCCTGGTTGTGTGGGGGGGTACGGTCCCTGGCTCCATGCCTCAGGTCCCCTGGTGGGCCTGAGGCATTGGTGGT